TTTCCACCATCCTGTCCTCTATTATTTGTATGTAGGAAGGCTATCGATTTTGTAGCCTTATACTTCACAAATTCTTTTTTTCAGTAAAGAAGTTTTATCATTGATTCTCTGATCTTATCTCCAAAGACAGATTTTACCTCTTCCTTACCCATTCTGTGTACCTGAATTAAGGCTTCTTGTGTAAAGTTAAGTAGTGTCAGAGACGGTGGGTATCCTTTTCTTCTTCCTAATTTTAGTGGAAATGCCACTAGTGTTTCTCCACTAAATAAGAGAGTGGCTTTAGAACTTAACACAACAGTTGATTGTCTTAATAAAATACCCCTTAGTTCCCTGAGTGTGTCTCAGAGGCTGTCTTGGCACCTATGGAGATAACCATCTTAGACTTATTGTTATGATGTATGATGTTAATGGATTTCCTATTGTTCAATCCCCTACACATTCCTGGAATAAGTTCCACTTTGTCATACTATATTTTGTTCTTGAAGAGGCATTGGCGTCTGTTTAATAATATTTTGCTTAGAATTTTTGCATTGGTATATATGAGTCATATTGGACTATAGTTTTTTTCTTTGTACTAATTATGTTTGGTTTAAATACAGTAGAGCCTCCCAACACTGACCACCTCCTTAAGTTGACATAATTTGTATAGACTGGACATGCACCACATGAGTGTATCATTACAGTAGGCCTGGTTCTCTATATTGACCCCTCCATATGTTGACCAGTTTGTTACAGTCCTTTGGGTTGTCAACTTACAGAAAGTCTCCTGTATACTAGTGTCTACATACTTCATAAAAGGGAATGTCCTTCCCTTTCAATGTTGATAAATAATTTATAGAGCTTTGAGACTCTCTGGCCTTTATCAGGCTAGGGAGAATTCCTTGTAAATACACTTGGGCACAGTGCTTTTCATGGGTAGTTCCTTAGTAACTTTCTCTGTCTCTTCAATGGAAATTGATCTGTGTAAGTTTGTAACTCAAAGAGGATAAGTTTTGGTAATGTATGCTTCCCAAGGAAACTATCTGTTTTAACCAAGCTTTCAAATGCATTTGCAAAGAGGACTGTAAAGCATTTCTTATCAAATGGTCTTCTGTTGCAGAAGTCAAAACATCTTTTAAGCCATATAATAACATGCTTTAAAAAAGGGAAAAAAAATACATTTTGGTGATTGGAAAATACCATCATCTAAAATGTTAAGCATTTTGTTTTCAAAGCAAGATATCACAGGTATTATCTGCCTCTGTTTACAGAGAACAAGCCAACATGTGGGTATGTGAAAGTGTCCTTGGCTTAGAGACCAGAGAGGTTTTCTGCAATTCCTTTCTTGCCAGTTAATGTCAACTTGGCTTACAGAGCATCAGATTCAGGTCATTAAATGTCATGAAGGACTTAACGTGTACCAATGTGGACAGTTACACTGCCCTTTCCTGGGACCTCAGTCTTCTTATGGGGCAGAGAGAATGCTAAAGAGAACAGAAAGAAGAAAGTAAAAATCACCTAAAGCCATACGCCCACACCTGCACACTGTCAGCCTGGTGATGGCCTTCCTTCAGGGCCCTATTCTCTGCATCTGCCTGGAGAAGCTTCTCTGATGTCCTGCTCACCGTGGCTGGTTCTTCCTTCAAAGGCTGCTGCGTGTCATGGCAGGGGAGAGGGAGCGCATGGGACCATTGGGAGGCTGCAGGTCTGAAGAGCTCACGCTGGCCTGGGGGATCAGGGGATGGACTCAGGAGCTGACCAGAGTGTCTGGCAGGGGGTGTGGGTGTCCAAGTCTGGGCATGGGCCAGGGCCCTTCCTGTGGGGCACATCTGCACCGCTGGCCTCGCCCAAAGCCACCTAGTGTTCATTGACAGATGTGAAAATGATGAATCATTTGTTTACAGAAATCGATGTGGACAAGAAACTACTAATGTACCTGTAATGATTAAAAAGTAGAAGTTTGATTACAGAATCTGGAAAATTCTGATACCAGTCTCTACCCGGCAGTTGGGGACTTCAGCCGTTGGCTGCGGTTAGTGGTGGATTTTCCACAGCTGGCCTCTGTCATGTCCAGGACAGTCCTTTTGGTCCTAGTTATTGAGTGTTTCTATCATGAAAGGGTGCTGGGTTGTATTAAATCCTTTTTCTGTGTCTGTTGAGATGACCACAATTTTTCCCTTTCGTTCTATAAATATGCATATTAGGATGACTAAATTTTTTTGTGTTGTTAAAACTCTTACATTCCTGTGGTAAATCTCTATGGTAAATGACCATATATGTGGTCATCATATACAAGTCTCTTGATGTGATGGTGGATTTAATTTGCTAGTGCTGTGTTGAGGATTTTTCCACCTTTATTGATAAGAGATATTGGTTTGTGATTTTCTTTTCCTGTTAAATTTTTGTCTCCTCAAAGAATGAATTAGGAAGTATTCTTTCATCTTTTATTTTTTTGATAAGTTTGAGTAGAATTAGTATTCTTTTTTAAACATTTGGTAGAATTTGTCAGTCAAGCCATGTTGTACTGGTATTTTCATTTTTAGAATTTTTTTGTTGACCAAGTCAATCTCTTTCTTTGTTATAGGCCTATTCAGATTTTCTTTTCTCCTTGAGTAAGTTTTGGTAGTTTATGTCTTGAGGAATTTACCCATGTCACCTACATTATTTAATTTGTTGGCAGACAGCTATCTATGAATCAATGCTTTGTCTTTCACAATAATTTTTGCCTGAAAAATCTGTTTGACAGATTATTTGAGTAACCATTCTGACTCTTTTACTTTCACTATATTTGTCTTTGAGTCTAAAGAGAGTCTTCTGTGGCATGATCAGGCATATACTTAGATCATGGATTTTGGTTTTATTTTAATCCATTATGCCACTCTCTGTACTTTTTTCAATTTCTGTCTTTTAATTGTTAAATTTAGTCCATTTACATTTAAGATGATTATTGAACACAATAACTAAGAAAATGACATGTAGGCTATGTTAACCAGTTTGATGAAAATATTTCAAATTGTATGTGAAAACACCACACTGTACCCCAGAATTGCATTAATATACATAGTTATTATTTAATAAAAAAAGGAAGACAACCTCAAAAAAAAAAGATGATTATTGATAAGGAAGGACTTCTAGTTTGCTATTTCTTTTCTTATCTTTTTTTGTTCCTTACAAATCAGATTCTCATCCCCTTCCATTTGTTTTAGGTACTATTGTTTGTTTGATAACTTTTCCGAACTAATTTTGGAAAATGTGTATCTTGTGTCTTATGTGGCTATTGATGTTCCATTACCATAAGCAGTCAACAAGTAAATGGACATAGATTCTCAAATTCCTGAACCGAAAACCAAAACTAGTATTTGTAGATGGGTGCTATGTGTATGTTGGGCCCACTTTAATACTCGGCCAGTGGTTGTACTTTGTCTTATCCTCACCCCTTGCTTGCATGATCTGATAGTCAGCCAGAGGAGAGACCCTGAGGACTTCAAAGGTCTTTCCAGAACATGTGCATGATGCTGGCATAAGTATGACATTTGTTGGAATTTTTCTAAGCTTTTATTCCCCAAATTACCTTTTCACACAGGCTTTTTAGTTAGGCTATTGTTTGTCCTGAGTATTATATAATCCACGCCTTGGTCAGTAATCCCTGAAACATTTTCCTATAAATGTTTTTAACGAACATTCTCCAGGTGGCTACCTTAGCACTGGGAGAGTTCCAAGTTACAGGAAAAAAGTCAAGCTCAATGTACCCACCAGAATGTTAAAATAATCACAGTCCTAGTGGATGAGGTCATTATCCTGTGGTGCAAATGTGGTATAGGAGCCCAGGTACTGCTGCTGCCAGAGCCAGCTGCTTGCTCCTAAGTGTTCTCATGCTTGGTGCAACCTTTTGATTAGTTGCCAGAGTTCAAAAAAATTAGCACTGACATATTTTACCATTCTTTTCAATGCTTTAAGGCAGGCATGGACTTTCAGAGCTCCTGATTCTACAGTTTCCCCATCCCTCAGAAATGTGCGCTAGGGCCAGGAGTGTACTTTCCTGGTATGTGTGAAGACTTTGGCATTGGCCTATCGTACCTACTTTGAGATCACTCGACTGGGATCATGTCTCTCCCCACAGATATCTAAGATGCCCTCAATGACTGTGGTACCCATCCTAAAATGTCTCCTAGTCACTTTGAGTTTGCATCCCCACATTGGGACTGCCACAGCACATAGGATGCCTTCTGCTTCCAGCAGGCAAAAAGCAAACTACCTTGAGCAGTAAATTTGGAGGAAGGATGGAATTACCCTTCAACAATGCAGAAACAGGGATCAGAAGCCTCTGCCGATGCTACTGGTGTACTCTCTTTAAGATAGTGTTCTGGGAGGCTGGGGCAAGTTTGCATGGCAGCAAACTGTGCATATTATGTGAAAGGTTCCTGGACCCTTTGAAGCATTTTCATGGACACCAGATAAAGAAACTCTGCTTTAGAGAAATCAAGACTGAAGAAAGGATTTCTGTCAGGATTTCTCTACAGACAGCAGTTTTCAACCCTGGCTGTGCAGCAAAATTATCTGGAAGCTTTTTTAAAAGCAAAACAAACCTCTTTTCTTATCAAAATGTTACACATACAAAAACGCCAAGAGAAAAGTATAATGGACCCAGGTGTGCCCATCACCCAACTCCAACAGCCATGGCCCTGGGGGAATGCTGTGTCCACACCAGGGCATCCTGTGTTCTTCCATCTGTGAGCACCTCCCTGCAGCCTCCAGGAGACTGAAACTACTTCCCATTTTCCACATACCACAAAACCATTATCGTACCTTTAAAATTTTCTTTAAATCATATACAATTCTAAGGTTTTCTCACTTACTCTTAAATGTCTTTTTACCATTGGTTCTTTCTAATCTGATCCAAAACAACGTCCACAGTGCATTTGGCCACGTTTCGTTCCTTCATTTCTGCCAGGCTCCCCCTCACCACTCCCCTTGGCCTCTGTTAAAGAGCAGGTGGTTTTTACATTCTTCTGAATACGCTGATGCCCAGCTGGAAACTGCGGCAGCAGCGTCTGCAGGGGAGCTCAGTAAAGGTTCCTTCTAACCCTAACCCTAACCCTAATCACAAGACCACCGCCCACACTGTGCAAAGTTTTGCTGCTCTCTGGGCGATGGGTCAAGGCCAGGTCGCCACTCAGAGGGGTCTCCAAGGGTCAGCTGTTTGGGAGGCAGAGGTGGCAGGAGGAGGGAGCGCTCCTGGTTCTTGGGTTCTGTGCTCTCCCGCCCTAACGCGCTCCTTTCCTTCCACAGGCTACGTCGCCTGATCCAGGTCGCCATCACGACCTCTGCGGGGGAACCCTGGACACACCAGCCATGGCCCTGATGCCTGGGCACGCGGAGCGCCAGGGTGCGGAGCCCCTCAGCAGAGGCCGGTGCAGCGCGGTGCGCACCCGGCACGTCATCATCAACGTGGGCGGCTGCAGGGTGCGCCTGGCCTGGGCGGCGCTCCAGCGCTGTCCCCTTGCGCGCCTCGAGCGCCTGCGGGCCTGCCGCGGCCACGACGAGCTGCTTCGTGTGTGCGATGACTACGACGTGAGTCGTGATGAGTTCTTCTTTGACCGCAGCCCGTGCGCTTTCCGCGCCATCGCAGCGCTGCTGCGCGCCGGCAAGCTGCGGCTGCTGCGCGGCCCATGCGCGCTGGCCTTCCGCGACGAGCTGGCCTACTGGGGCATCGACGAGGCACGTCTGGAGCGTTGCTGCCTGCGCCGCCTGCGCCGCCGCGAGGAGGAGGCGGCTGAGGCGCGTGCAGGGCTAGAAGGGCGCCTGGCTCCGGGAAGCCCGGCCCGCACCCTGGGAAGCCGCGCCCTGGGCCCTGGCAGGCGGCTGGAGAGAGGCCGACGGTGCCTGCGAGACGTGGTGGACAACCCCCACTCGGGGCTGGCCGGCAAGCTCTTTGCCTGCGTCTCCGTGGCCTTCGTGGCAGTCACAGCCGTGGGCCTGTGCCTGAGCACCATGCCGGACATCCGCGCTGAGGAGGAGCGGGTGAGAGCGGGCTCGGGCGGGGCGTTGGCACAAGTTTGGCAGCTGCTGGTGCCAAGGGTTGTCAGGGCCAGGTCCTAGGACTGGGCTGAGTGGTGCTAGGGCTGGTAGAGTGGGGACAGCTGGGCTGAGGGCTTCCTAGCAAATGGTGATCAACACGCGCACACCCCTTTCCGGAGTTGTGGTCGAAACCACAGGTGCCAGTGGTCTTGACCATCTGGTTAAGGGGCCACAGTGGGCCCTCACTGAGGCCCACACATTAGGCCTGGCCGCTGTGGGCTAAGATCATAGAGTCTCCAAGTTACATGCAGTCTCTGCTCAGCGGCCTTCTCCACTGGGAACAGCTTACCAATAAGGGCCTGGAAGTCTGACAATATGAAGCTGAATACTCAGCACCAGGGGGATTCTCCACCCCACCTCAGTCGTCCAGACCACGGGCATGCCCTCTACCAGAGCCAGGCTCCGACCGCAGCACCCAGGCTGGCTTCCGGCCTGTTTTCACTGTCTGAAACGCTGTACGTGGATGTGTGCAAATGAAAGCAAGCATATCAGCATTTGTGCACACTAGGCCACAGGATGTTCTAGAAATGTTCGAGGATGACACTGTCTCCTGGGCCTATGGCTGGGACTTCTGTCATCTGAGTTGGCAGGGTTAGTGGAGAAGAGAGTATTATTGTATTTGAAGATGTTATCCTGCAGATTCTGATGGCACTTTGCCAAAAACAGGTCACACCAGGAAGCAGACTAAGTCTGGTGGGGCAAGGACAGGGAACCCCCCATCTTGGTCCTGCTCCAGCCATCTGGGTGCTGTGAGAGGCCTCGGCTTCCCAGTATGGGTCCCCTGAAAGGCTCTGAGGTACTCAGGCTGGAGGCTGCCAGGATGGCTGTTAGGGTTTCTTAGGTATGTGAGAGAATGTGGGAAAGCTGGTGCCTCTGGCATCTACCTGCCTCCTGTGTGGCCCTAGCTGCACTTTTGTGCTGGCTGTTGGGTAGACCAGTTGATGGTGCCCTGTGAGGCCGCTGTGGCAAAGACTTCATAGGGGCATTTTACTGCACAAGGCAAGTACCCAGAAATGAGCACTCTGGTCACTGCGTGCCACAAGGAAGGAGTTTTGCATTTCATTAGCTCCTTTAAAAAAAAAAAATGCAGGAGAAATATGCATAAAACTTAACCATTTCCATTATTTTTAAGGACACTTCTTGGCAGTGTTAAGTACATAGCATAGTTGTGCAGCATCAGTACTATAATCTCCAGAACTCTCGAAGCTGTGTCCCATTAGACACTGACTCCATGGCATGCACCCCTGTCTACTGCCTATGCCTATGCCCTGGGTCCTCACTGAGAGGAGTCACAGGGCTCTGTCATCTGTGACTGGCTCATTTTACTTGGCACGCTGTTCCCAGGATCACCTGCCTTGTAGGGGACCTCTGAGCCCCTCCTGTGGCTTCCCCTAGACCCTGCATCAGCTCTGGGCCTCTGCCAGGGCACCAAACCCAGTGCTAAAGTGATGATCATAATAACAGTTGGGCCTGGCCCCCAGGGTGGCTTTGTCATACAGGAGTTATGAAATGTGCTCTTCATCACTGGTAATGGCTGGGAGTACCATCCCAGATATTTGTCTTTGCTGTCACTGGGCAAGACTACCAGAACCTGGCACAGGCAGCACTGAGGGGCAGAGTCCAAAGTGCGACTACCGGGTGTAAAGTCAAGGTGTCAGAGGACTGGCTCCTTCTGGGGAGCGGAGGGAGCATTCCTTTCCTAATGTTTTAGCTTACTGGGCGCCAAGGCCCTGCCTGCTGTGGGTTGCTCCATCCATCACTCCAGCCCAAGTATCCATCGTCTCCTTCCCTCACTCTGACAGCAACCCTCCCTCTTGTGAGGATGCTGTGATGACATTGGGCCACCCAAGTCATCCAGAATAGCTTTCTGTCCAAGGCCTTTCCTCCTCTGCAGGGTATGACATGCTCATGGGCTCAGGGTTCCACAGTTCCATGCCCAGCCACCACAGTAAAGACTCAGCCCATCTGCAGGGGAACACGCTTGCCCTGTCAGCCCCAGTGGTGCTAGCCTGGCACTTGTCGAGGGTCCCAGGAGTTAGCCTGAGCCCAGACACCCAGAGGAGGAGGGACATGTGTCTGTTCAGTGATGGAAGGACGTGTGTTCACACGCCCACCCTTCTGCATGTTAAAATTACATTGTCTTGTACTTTGCAAGCTTTCAGCTCCTACAGCCCTGTTGACTAAAATACTGATCTGTGGGACACATTCTTCTGATACTTTTTGTGTTGGGCTCATAATCTCGAACTCCCACCTCCTATTTGAGGCCAGGGAAAGTTACACTGGTCACTCTGTTCATGAAATCAGAGCTAGTTATTAGGGAAATTATTGCAGTATTTCCAGGAAAGACTATGATTTCATTTTGGAGATGTTGTGGACACATTTCCAGGCAAAGCCCTGTTGTGTGTATGTGCCTAACTGTGATAAAAAGGCAAGGAAGGACAGGCTGCCTGGAGGACTAGGGCACCCCGACGCTAGTCCATCCTCAGGCAGAACGTCCAGCATCTGCTGCAGTAGCTCACAGGGCCCAAGAAGCAGCATCTTAGCAGCACGAGGAACGTATGTTCTTTGATCTGGACATCAGAGCAGGGCTGTCAAGGGGCCCCAGGGGGAACTGCCAACCCCACCCTGTACCCCTGCAGCCTCTCCTGGGCTGCCCTGAGCAGCCTCCTCAGGGTCAGGACCCAGCTGCCATCTGAGCAGGGCTCTGTCCTCAGCACCTTTGCCCCATGTGACAGTCACTCAGCTGCAGGATCTTCCTCAGAAGGGAAAGTTCAGTTACCCAAACCCACTGCATCCTCTGGCCAGGCTTCCAGGTGATTTGCTCAACTATGTTACCTTGTCTGAGGAGACAAAGGTTAGAAACCAAAGCCATAAACATCTTTGGCCACAAAAATTTATCCTGAATTCTCTGACCCCCCGAAAGTAAATCCTAAATCAAAACATGCCAATGTACTTCATTACTCTCCCTTCTTTCTTGAGAAATAATCACAGAGATGAGAATCTGTAGATATCCCAACCACTACCAACTTGATTGGTGTTGGGTTTTAATATCAGAGCCACGGTCAGAGGACAGAGTTGCAAGAGGTGCTGTCACCTGTACAAAGGTGGGAACCTGAGGCTGAGCATGAACGGGATCCCGCACCACCAGAGCCCCAGGCCACCAGCCCTGTTGCACTGCAGGAACCACAGAGGGGACGGACAAGCATATCCCCCCCAGTGTGTGCACTTGAAATGCCTTCTGTGTGTCTGGCATTCATAGTGTAGCGTGAGGAAGCCTTATAGCAAAGATGGTGCCTCCCTTCTGCCCTTGGTGCCAAGACAGTGTGCCCATGTGCTGGCTACTGCAGTGGAGGCACCCTGGGAAAGCAAGCTCTGACCTCAGCTGGGAGTATGCATCTCCCAAGAAGGGTGTGTCTGCACTGAGACAGGTGATGGCGTGACAGTGTGGCATGTTGCTGCAGCTTCCTGAGTACAGCTATTGGCTCCCAGCCAGTGGACACTGCACTACAGCCCATTTTGGGTGACTCACAGCAAACAGCTGTGACCCTGCTTCCTGCCGGGCTGCTAGTATGTTGCTGGCACTGTCCTCAGTGGAGCTTTGTGGCCTAGAATTCTGTTTTTCAAAATAAATCACTCTCTTTCACATTTAGCCTAGTATTTAACTGCATGAGTTGAGTTTTCCCTTTAAACTCATGTGATTGAATTAAGAATAGTCTAAGTAGTTGTAGATTTTGTAACTGGATTTCAACTCTTGATTCACCAAGAACATTTTTTGCAGCAGCAGCAGAGGCTGTGCAAAGTTGCTGCTGCTGCCCATATGCACCTATCACACATGTAGAGTTTCAGCAGCTCACAGGAATGAGAGCTTTGCTATTTCGAACTATGTTTGCCAGGTGCCTCCAGAGAATGGAAGGAGGTGTGGGGGGAGATTCCTGAGGCTCCAGCTCTGTGATGAAGTAGGCGTCCCCATCTGCAGGCCACTTGCTGCGAACCCAGCAGAGCCTTCGGGGTGAGCTCCCATCCCAGGGTCTGGGCAGTTCTGTGAATCTGAGGCCACAGAAGGCTGCTGTTCTGCCAGGCACAGGAGAGTCAGGGTCTGGGTCAGCCTTCCAGCTCTGTGCAGGCTGGTGGTCTGCTCCATTCAGCTGCACCCAGATGTCAGCCAGATCTCCTTACAAGGTCCCCTGAGCGAGGCTGGAGCAGATCTTTCTGTGCCCGGTGGCTAGACAGCCTGCCCTATCATGGGAGCTCTGGTGTGGCCTTACTGCCCCATGCCCTGTGGGCCTGTGGTCTCATCACAGCCCCACAGGCTGGCCCCTACATGATAAGTCTCACCAGCATCAGCAAAATACATTTTATGTTTCTCACAATCTGTCCTCCAGGTCCCTCAGGGCAGGACAAGGGTGTGATGAGGGCAGGTTCTTCCCCTCCCTGGAGCCAGGGAAAACCAGTTCAGAACCAGCTGGCAAAGGGTGCCCTTGGGGTTTTGAACAGGGCCTGGGCTGCATCCTGACGGCTGTGCTAGTTGGGCTGCTACACCAGACCCAGCCTCTGGGGGCCTGGACAAGCAGAGATGTCTCCTCTGCACCGTTGGATGTGGTCAGTCTGCTAGGCAGGTAGACATAAAACACAGAGTGTTCCCCTCTGCTCCCTGCAAATTCTGCAGGGAAAAGATAGATTGTTGTTTTGGATTTTTGCTTTGGTCTGAAAAAAGAAAAAAGTACTCAAGTGCTTGGAATAGAACCTACAAGGTTCTTTCTTCCATAATCTATCCAGTGCCTGGGTCTCCTCCCTGTCCCTATAACACAGGGTATTGGTTACGTTCTTAGACTGACAGCCACAGGGTAACACAGGCTATTGGTTAAGTTCTTAGACTGACAGCCACAGAGTATTACATTGTGTATTTCTCTTCAATTTCCTCATCCAAGGTTAAATTGTTTTCA